AATCCTTGTACTGTATAATATTTGTTTATGCTCAAAATTTGAGCATTAAGTAGTAGGACCCTCTTATAGAGAGTTGGTTGTTCTAAGTGATGACTACACAATTAAACAGTTGTCTAATTGAAGGATATTGCTTACCCTATTTACATCATTTTTGACGTCACACAAATGCTGTGTATCACTGGAGGGCACCACTTTATTGAATGTATTGCTAGAATTCTGCTTTAATTCTAACAGACAGTATAAATGTTTTGTATTTCTATTAATTCTTGGTAAATCTGTTCTATTGGATATATGCTACTTGGAAAATGCTTCAAATAAACAAAAATGAAATGTATATTTTTTTTATGAGTCATTTCAAGGAAAATGTTTTTCTTGCTATTCAGTTGTATTTGTTGGAGTGCCTATCACAAGGGTATGCTAGCTAGTAGTGATTATGAAGGCACAGTAACATTATGGGATGCGTTCAATGGAACCAAAACCAGGTTATTTCAGGTGAGAATTGTTTTCCAATAACTCTTTCTTCCACCACCATACAATAATATATCGATTGGGGAAAATTAACTTATAATTTTCAGAATGAATGAAGATTGGTAAATGTCTTTCAGGGATTCAACTGGGCCTATTTACCACTGGGATACTGCATTAACTTACCATAATGCCATTGTCATAGGAAAACAGTCACATGGCCCTGTCACACAGTCTTGAGCATGGAATACCTTATTTGCTCTATTAGTTGCACTAAATAATCTTATTTGAATGGTGTAGTGTAGTAAACAACAAATACAATTATTGGTTTATGTGCCCCTCTATTGGAGAATCTCTTGTGATGAATCAAATACAGTAAAATGCACTGTTTACACAAGTTTTATTTTCACGCAAAAAAGCCATGAGACACATTCAATTTCAAGAACTGTCGCTCGACACAAAAAGATTCTGAAATTATAAAACAGTTAAACCAGGCATTGTAATATTTTTGCTGAACTGAGTGAAAAGACTTTTTTCCTTCTCAAAAGTCATGTAGCAGCTTATAAGTCATAACAAGCATTTTGCTGAAGGAATAATGTTTCCTCATTTACTTTAGTTATACAACTGCTTATAAATAACTAAAATTGTTTTTTTTATCATAAATAGATATGATTATGTTACGTTACTGAGTACCCACTTGGTCAATCCAAGTTCTCCTCATTCTTTTGTGAACATGCTAAAAAAGTCATTTAATGAATGATTCTGTATTGTATATTTGATTTTGTGAATATGCGACATGAGTGTTTTAATGATTTCCTTTCTGTCTGATTACAGGAACATGAGAAACGATGTTGGAGTGTTGATTTCAATAAAATGGACCCCAAGTTAATAGCATCAGGTTCAGATGATGCAAAAGGTACATACTAATTTCTTTTTTATAATAGCATGCAGTATCATATGATGGTAAGGAGATACTTTTTGCTGTTTAAAAAGTATGGCTTACCATGGTGATTTTCCTGTCTTTGAAAATAACAGTAAGGATCAATAGCAATAGTTTTGCACTACGGTTGTTTGGTTACCAAGTAACTTTAAGCAGGCATTTGAATATACAAGCTTCAGTTTTGTAACAAACATGTTGATTTGTATTTTGTGTTTTTGTTGCCTTTCAGTTCATGAACTGTTTTTCTGTTTAGCATTATTTGTGGCACTGACCACAGTTTTGAATCCTTACGTGGGAACACGTTATTTGGCATAACTAACCTAGAAAGTAGAAAATATCCTATGCTCAGTCCTTATTCATTAATGCATACACAGTTGGAAGGAATGGGGCAGGAAAAAATCAAGAAGTGGATGTTCATCAACCACGTCTTAAAAGGAATGCTTTGCATAAAATTTTGATTAACTTGAAAAGGTTGCATTAGAAAGTCAGTTTCACATGCGATTTCATGAATTTCGTGACTCCCTAAGATACTGAAAAAAACCCTGATCACAGTCGAGTCAAATCAAGTTTAGTAATGTTCTGGTGTTTCAAAACAACTTCTGACCTGAAAATAACAGTTTGGTATACGACACATACTGCCATGTACATCATCATAGGCTATTACATCAAAATGTATCCGATAAGACCCAAAATTTTCATCGTGTTAAATATGACTATTTGTCAGTGGACAAGTGTTATCGTTATTTTTTAACTGACATACCAATATTGATATCCAATGAACTCAACTGTTTTCTTCTAGTTAAACTTTGGTCAACTAATATGGAGCATTCAGTTACATGTCTAGAAGCCAAGGCTAATGTTTGTTGTGTGAAATTCAACCCTACTCAGATGTATCTCTTAGCATTTGGATCAGCAGGTAATGTTTTCTCATATACATGATTTGATTTTCGTTTGCGCCATTTTCCATGCTTGGTCAATCAAGTGTATGAAGAAGCTGGCCTAGATGTGTCAGGCAAAATGCATTTGCCCAAATGCCATGAATGTTTCTATGCAGTTTCATTGCTTCTCTAAAATATATACAGCAGTGTCACCGCCAGTGATATATTTTTATGTTTTACTTTGCATTTTCACTGGATGTTGAGTACATTTAGCTATCAGTGAAAAAAAAGGAAAACAAAAACCAACTACCGGTCTATTAAATTATAACAAAGCAGTGTAGAATAAGATATACATACACGGCTTACATTTCAGTCAAACGCTTTGAAGGAACTGAAAAATACATCATTTTTTCTCTGGAACTAATTTTCGCTAAAATGACTTTTGATGTGTGTTATATAGAATTTATTTTCACTGATATTTGGCAAGTTGAATGTAAAATATAGGAAAAAAGGTATATTCGCTGGATTTTACTTTCACTGAATCATTCCTTCAGTCTTAGTAAATTTATTACACTACCACTTGTAAATGATGCCCGTGTGCTAGTGTTAATTTTCTGTCAATCTTTAATACATGAACAGAGTTTTTTTTCTAGAAAAAAAACTGCAACAGGGAGCACTGCAATTCAGAGGATCTGCCCCCCAGGGTAAGGGGGCACATGGCCATGTCATGAGGGCACTGCACCCCTGTTCTCTTGTTTAAAAAAATCCCTGCTGATGCTTGTGTGCTAGTGTGTTAATTTTCCGACAATATTTAATATATTTAATCAGCTGCTGAAAGCTTCTATGGATAGCTAAAATGAATGAATGAAGAAAAAAATCAGCAGATGTGTTAATCTAGTGTCACATATTGCAAACCCCTGTCAACATTGTCAATATTTAAAAATTTTGTTTTGCAATATGTACATATAACTATAGCTCTTTGTGTGTGTTCTAGATCACTGTGTGCATTACTACGATTTAAGATATACACGACAAGCACTTCAGGTTTTTAAAGGACACAGGAAAGCTGTATCTTATTGTAAATTTATTTTGCAATATGTACATATAACTATAGCTCTTTGTGTGTGTTCTAGATCACTGTGTGCATTACTACGATTTAAGATATACACGACAAGCACTTCAGGTTTTTAAAGGACACAGGAAAGCTGTATCTTATTGTAAATTTGTAAACTCAGAAGAACTTGTCTCAGCGTGAGTATTCACTTTCTTACTTTGAACGCTGTTTATACTGGTGTAAGTTCTTCTAGTTGGAACGTGGTATGGTAAAATGGATTTTTTTTCATATTTCCATGATTTTGAGACTATGATTTTATTGCATGTTCTTCACAAAACTCGCATAAAAAATATTGTCACGGATTTACTTTTTACATAAAAAAGAACACATAAAAATGACGATGTTTAGGCTATGAACATTAGTTTGAAAATACCATTTCATCTTGTTATGAGATACCGGTACTGTTTAGCTGGAATTAATTTTCGCTGAAAAGACTTTGGATGTTTGGTGTGGAATTTATTTTCACTGATTTTTGACAAGTTTGATGTAAAATATAGGAAAACGGGTATATTCACTGGATTTTATTTTCAGTGAATCAGTTCTTCAGTAAAAATAGGGAAAAATAATTCCAAGCAAAAATAAAGTATTCTACAGTAGGGAATTTCAAATCATAAATTATTAAGTGATTCTGGGCAATATTATTTATTGAATTTCTATGGAAATTTTGACATAATTCTCTTTAGCTCCGCTGTCGACTTTGTCGAGCGGAGCTTATCATATGAGTGATTGTTCGTCGTCGTTCGTCGTCCATGTCAATGTTTTACTTTTTCGACTTCTTCTTGAAAACTACAAGCCTGAATGCTTTGATACTTGGTGTATATGTACCTTGGGTAGACCTCTCTCAGGTTTGTTCATTTCATGTTGATATCTTCAATTCTCTAATTTTAGTGGATATTTTCGACTTCTTGTTAAAAACCGCAAGTCCAATTGCTTTGATACTACATATATAGGTACTACATGTGGACCTCTCTCAGATTTGTTCATTTTGTGATGATATCTTCAATTCTCTAATTTTGGTGAATATTTTTGTAATTTTTGGTAAAAAGTGATATTTTCGACTTCTTGTTAAAAACCAAAGTTCAATTGCTTTGATATTACATATATAGATATTACATGTAGACCTTTCTCAAATTTGTTCATTTTGTGATGATATCTTCAATTCTCTAATTTTGGTGAATATTTTTGTCATTTTTGGTAGAAAGTGATATTTTCGACTTCTTGTTAAAAACTGTAAGTCCAATTGCTTTGATACTATACATATTGTTCATTTTCTAATGATGTCTTCAGTTCTTTAATTGAAATGTGCATTGCTAACAGCGGAGCTATCTCAGCCGTAAGGCTGCTTGTTTATAACCATGATTTGTAAAAACATTTCTTATTCCCAAATTTAATGTGCTACTCCCAAACATTTAAAAGGCATGGGATTATCACCTAAATGAACACTTACTATATTCAAGTTAATTCAATTCAAGAGAACTGCAGGAGGCGTAATGTCGTAGTGATTAAAGTGTGGTGGTCTTCGCGCCGCATCGCACTGCACTGTGCCCCGCCCTGTTCGATATGGGACTCGTAGCATCGTATACAACACGTGTAAAATACATTGTTTATTTACATGAAATTTGAACACTGCACATGAATGTATTTTGACAACTATGAAACGTGTGATCCAAGAGTAGAGTAGATAGTGGTTGTGTGTTCCAACATACTTTTCAAACTGTTGTTAAACCACACTTGTATTCTGTTTCTTACAGTTCAACTGATAGTCAATTGAAGTTGTGGACTGTTACTAAGCCGCACTGTGTGAGGACATTCCGAGGTCATATAAATGAGAAGAACTTTGTAGGGCTAGCAGCTAATGAAGACTACATTGCTTGTGGCAGTGAAAACAATGCTCTTTATGTTTATTACAAGGGACTTTCTAAACAGCTGTTGACTTTTAAATTTGACACAGTCAGGAGTGTGCTGGTAAGTGAAAACCTTTCTGTTCACTGGTGCCATAGTGGTTGTTGCATTGGACTCATGATCGGTAAACCTGAATTCAAATCCTACTACACCAAAAAGGATTGACCACAACCTCGGATAAGTGTGCCACGGACTCAGTGGGAAGGCCAATTCCACTAGTCGAGATTCATTCACTAACAAATGCAATTTTAAGGGAACGTTGGTTAAGATCTGCAGGTGTTTGTGTTTGACCAGGCCTCGTTGACGCCGGGATAGCGCATTAAATTTACTCAGCAGTATGGAGACATAAAAGTTGGTTCATGACTCCTCGGTCTTATGCATAACAACCAACTAATTAGACAAACAAATGCAACTTTTTTAGTATTTTGCGATGTTTCAAAAAAATCTTTTAACTGCTATGTACTGCTATTTGGAGGTTATTATTGTCTAACTGTCTACAAACAAAACTGAATGAAATGATAGATTTTTTGGAATACCATGTGATATTATCACATATTATTATTAGTCTATTGGCAGGAATCAACATCTTTATATGCTGGGAATCAAATTGATTGCAAAATAGTTAAATTCTGGTTATTTTCATTCATGAGTGAACGTCTACTGTCAGAGTCGCAGTGTAATTTATCCCTGTGAAATACTGTTACAATAAGCATCAGAACTATTGGGGTAGAAAATTCACTAATTTGCTGAAAACTTTAGGGTTGATCAATCAAATGGCCTATGATTTGAATATTATATAGTATTCTGTTGTATTTTATTCAGGATAAAGATAAGAAAGAAGAAGACGCTAATGAGTTTGTTAGTGCAGTTACCTGGAGAACTGTGAGTATTAAACATTGATCTATGAACACAAGATAGTATTTCTAGTATAATGTTATTACATGAATTAACCTTTTCACCACCAGTTCCCTGTTTTCATCACAAACTCACAAAATAGTCCTGTTTATAATCTGCTCTTTCCTCAGAAGATTGGGACAAAATAGGCAATTTTTGGAGTGAAATCTATAAAAAATTGACTGAAATTTTATTTGTTTTTCAAAAAGTATTGAAGAATATAGGAAAAAGTGCATTAAAATTTGGGCGAGAAAATCTGGTGATGAAAAGTCCATATTATGTGTCTAGTTACCCAAATGACTATATCAAGATGTTTGCAGCTTGGTACAAGTGCAATTTCACAGCAGTTTACTCACAAATTATGATGGAAAATGAATTAAATATGGAGCAATCCCAGGGAAGGACATCTTCCAGTTTAATTTGGTTCATTCTTAAATACTTTTCTTTTTGCAGGGCTCCAATGTTCTAGTTGCTGCTAACAGCCAGGGCACTATCAAAGTCTTAGAATTGGTGTAGAAAGTTGGTCACTGGAGTAAAGTATAGGTGCAATATCCTGTTCCACAATAAGGACAGGCTCTTACATCAATTGGTCTACTGGGCTTTCACTGTTGCAGTCATTACTACAGTCTATCAGTTGCTGAATTTGTTATGTGATCTCTGAATTCTAGATTTTGTTGCAAAATAAGCAATGTTGGCAATCACAAATCTATTTCAAGAGGTTACCAGTAAACACTCGAGGCATGCAAAGCTTTCTAATTTTTGCTACAAGCAGTGATATTTATTGCCTTTATTAGAATTACTTGACAGTTATACCACTGACACCTCCTCCCCATTATTCTTTTCTAGTGCTATTATAAAGTTATCTTTTTCTGAAAGGCATGTACTCATGCTCAGCTCCTTTACTACAAATGCCCAGCTGTATAGTATTTTGTATATTTGGTTGAAAACTAAATGAATGATGTATGTTCAATCTAAGTTGATAACCAGAAAAATGCCCAGAATTCACACATTTGCTGCTTTATTTTGGTGGAAACAAACATGTTTTATAATCCTATTGCCTATGGTGGTCAATGTAGACATATCTGTACTTTATTTGGTGGTAAATTAAATACTCTTATCAAAATTTGATTTGTTGGTTTTTTGTGTGCACACAATGGAAGTTGATTATCGTGTGTGTATGTATGTATGTATGTATGTATGTATGTATGTATGTATGTATGTATGTATGTATGTATGTATGTATGTATATACCTGTCTGTCTGTCTGTCTATTCGTTCGTCCTACATTATCTGAAAAAAGTTTGTTGGATTTCAAAGTAACTTGGTACATGGAAACCCTGAAGCAAAGCACATTCTGATTAGTTACTCTTCGCTGGTTGAAGTTAGAAATGGGGACTAGTAATTTGGGTTCGTTGGGGCAATCCGCATTCCATTATTTTTGACGGAATAATGGCCATTTTTGTCCTGAAAAAATCTTACTTTGAACGTGTCTATCTGAGCCAATTTCTTTAAAACTTGTTAGCTCATTGATGCCCATCAGTTTTTGTTTGTGAGTTTCGATTCAAACTGGTGGTCATTTTGTTTTTCTGTTTTCTACGTCTATTTCTGTGATATGGTTGGCTGATTTGGTTCGAAGTTTATACAAGGCCTAGTATCGTTTACATGGTTGAAATCTATGCATATTAATTGCATAAATTGGATCATGTGACCTCATTAATATGCATAAATAATGCCTTGAGCACTGATAAGCAAAGATAAGAACATGCAACCAGTGCTATAATAAAGGTATTGAATAGATAATATCCTAACCATATACATACAGTCATGTGACCTCATTAACATGCGTAACTTGAATATCTCAAGCACTGTTGCAGGTTGGACAGTGCAATATTGAAAACATTTGAAAGTTATTGGACCATATTTTATCATGTGAACAATTTTAATATTTAGAGAGCTATTGAGATGAGGTACATGCAACTGATGATGGTGGGAGGAGGGAGGGAGTGTGGATTTAATTACTGTAAAATACTTACTACCGGTAAAGTATTTTACCTGGAATTAATTTTGCTGTTTCACTAATTTTTGACTAGTTGAATGTAAAATATAGGATACTGAATACCCCTTCAGCAAAAGTAGTGAAAATAAATTCTAAGTGACAAAGTATTTTACAGTATATTTGAATATACTGAATAATAATGATTCATAGTTACTGTGAAATTGGTGAGCAAACCAAGATAACATTATTTATAATTTAGTGTATGAAGGCAGTATGAAAGTACATCAGTCCAAAGCACAATCTTACATTAGCTCTGCTTTTTTCTTTGCTTGTTCCATTAATAATTGGGGTTTATATGTACACTCGTACCAATTGTTACTTCAAGGGACATATTGGGTTTTTATACATCCTAATAATGACAAGTCATTGTTAATGACACAGTCCCTGTTCAAAATTTTGTGATCTGACATATCAATTTGATGCTGATGAAGTCATTGAGATTAGATTGAAACCATTAATATTTGTAAAAAATTATGATTTAGTGCTTTTACACGAGAATTGAACATTGGGCAGTCATATTGAATCAAATTACAAAAATAATGTTCATGTTGATGTATCTATTGGTATACTGTCTTTGTACAAAATTTAAACAGAAATGTTCATTGCATTCATGGGAAAGTAGGCATGGGTATCATGAAAAACAACATGGCCACCAGTCAGCCATATTTGTTCGAATCGTGGAAAAAATATCATGTGCACCTACAACCCAATATGTATGATCATCATACCAACTTTGATCCAAATCGGCCCAGTCATCTCTGAGAAACTGCTGCGGACACGGTAGGTATCAGAAATAGCAAATTTTACATCCAAAACGGCTGCCAGTCGGCCATTTTTCCTCGGATCATAAAGTAACTTGACGTGCATATACAAGACATTATGTATTGTCTTCATGTAAAGTTTGAATGAAATCCGTCAATTGGTGTCTGAGATATAGCTCTGGACATACGGACGGACAGAACAAACCCAAATTAATAGTCCCTGTTTTCGGACTTCGTCCGGGGACTAATAACACAATGTTCAAACAATGGAAAAATCAAAGAAAGCTTAGAAAGAACTCCCGTGTGCTGAGAGTATTGAAGACACATTAAAAATTACTTGTACACGAGATATTGATGGAAAAGCTGAAAACTAATTATGTAAATCAGTAACTAATATGAACAGAACAACAAAATTATGAATTATTATGCTAATTAGAAAATTAATATGAACAAATTTTACCCAAAATTAATC